TTCAGACAAATTCTGGTGTTTTATCTAATTGTCCTTAATTTTAAATGTCCTTGTATTGCTCATTCAATGAGATGTGTTCAAGCATTTCTACACTGTCAATAATAATCGCGTTCATCTTCATCAGCTGGAGGCGACATTTAATATAGTTCCATTTATAATACAAACTGACATAACAAAAATCAGCCAGCAAATAATAATGAAAGAAACTTAACATTTTGAATGTGTATCTGGAAATGACAGAATTTTATTTTTGTGCCTTAAGCCACCAATGTGTCAACAAAGACCCTACATTTTATTCAGTTCAATAGTTTTACAAAGCAGAGTGACTGTTAAACACAGGTTTGTATTTTGTAAGCCTGCAGATTCATTTCATTTCTGCTTTTTTTTTTTCCTTTCAAATAATCAGTTTGTTCTTTGGTCTATAAAATGTCAGAAAACTGTGAAAAATGTCAATTAGTGTTTCCCAAAACCCAAGATATCAAAAGTCTTGTTTTGTCCACAATGGGAAGATATTCAGTTTACTGTCAGGGAAGGAAGGAAGTCAGAAAACATTCAGTTTTAAGAAGCTGGAATCAGAGGATTTTTTTTCCTCTCAAAAATTACCCAGACTTTAATCAATTATCAAATATATTTTTCATTTAATTTAATAGCTGCCAACTATCTGATTAATCACTGCAGCTCTAATGTTGTGTGGTCATTTTATTTCATTTAGTTTAGAAAAATGTTTAAAAGACAGACAGACAGGAGGCTGACGGAAGGAGAAAGCTCAGAGAATTTGGGTTAAATCTTCTAATTTAATAAATTCATCTGTACAGTTTCCTATATAAGAAACATCCAGCTGACCTGAAAATGTATTTGATTTTTGTATTTCCTAAGACATTTAGGAGTTGTTTTTTGCACAGTGTATTCTTTATTTTGCTGTTTATTTTACAACAAATGGTAAATTTAGGCTTCATTTGATCAGACATGAAGGTTTTGGGACTAAGAAACAAATGCATTTTTGTCAAATATTATTTTGGGTTAGGTTCATTATGTCTGGAGCTGATTTAGTTTTATTTGAACTGGGTCAAACATTATCTAAATAATATCTAGACTAGGTTAAACTTGTTTTATTTTTAGGGTATTTGGGTTTCTTCCAGAGCTTTTGGATGAGCTGTGAAACCTGTTCAAGAACAACAACAACAAGTTTTACTGAAGCTCTTGTGTTTATTGTGACCAGACGCCTCTCATCATTTTTAATTCAATCCCTTTCCCTCCGCAGAACGGCCCGTTGCCGTTAAAGTACCGGGTCCGACCCAACTGTAAGAAGATGAAGGTGAGCCATGCGCAGCAGGAGGGCCAGAACAGCGCCAGCCGGTCCGGTCCGGAGAGCGACTCTGCCAGCGACAAAGCCGGAAGTCCCGCCGGGGCTCCGTCCACGTCCTCGTCGCTGCCGAGCCCCGGTACGCCTGCGCAGTCCCCGCACCCGCAGCTTCCGCACGCGCCCGGCGGCAACAACAACAACAGCAGCAGCAGCAGCGGCGGCGGCGGCACCGTGAACGGGACTCCAGCAGCAGCAGCAGCAGCCGCCGCCGCCACCACCACCACCACCACCACCGCCCAGACACCCAGCCGGCCCTTCACCCAGTTCGGCAGCGGAGCCGGAAAACCCCGCAAGGTCTCTCTGAACGGCTCGTCGACCTCCTCCGGATGACGCGGGGCCTCGAACCGGAGCCGCCAACGCCAGACACCCGCTCAGCTAATACTGTTTTCATGCCAACGTAGTTCCATTGTGTAGACAATGTTCTCTCTCTTTCTCTCTCCATTTGTTGTTATAAATATTATGCCATCATTTGTAAGTTTAAACGTAGTGGAATCAGAGACATTTCAAACGGAAAAAAAAGGAACGAGGAGGTTCGGGTGGGAGTTTTTATTTTTTATTTTTTATTTTAAATATGAAAGCAGATGTTGAAGGGGGAAAAAACACCAGAAGGTTGGAAAACGGACAAACATTTATCCCATTTTTTTTTTTAAAGGCTACATCTTTATTTTACAGAAGTGACTGAAGGTGACTTTTAACGTGTTTCATCAGGATCCTCTGTGTGTTGGGATATTTTCGTAGTTTGAAACACGCATGCGCACCTTTTTTTCTTTTCTGAAAGAGGGTCGGCGCCAACAGAAGTGTCTTCTTTTTTTTTTTTGACAAGTTTTTGTTCCAGGCATGGAAAGTGGGAGGTAAAGAAAAAAAAGAAGAGTTTGTATAGCGCTGTTGACTTCACAGGGGAAAAACCTATGGAGGATTAAGAAAAAAAAATCAACTTTACTGGAAAACAACAAACTTTCTTGTAGCTGCGGTGGATGAGATCGTTCATCCTCCACGTGTTTATGCGCCGTTTTAGAGAATCCGCGTGTAAATAGAAACAAAAATGCATATTTAATCAGCGATGATGTTATTCTCTTATTCCCCCTTTTGTTCCGAGGGAATGACTTGGGCTCCTGTTCGGCTTCATTTCATGCTCAATGACAGATGTTTTGATGTCTCTGTTTTCCGTATTTGTATCGCTCGATTGTATGGACAACTTATTGTATTGTTACTGTTGCACAGTATAAAACATCTAAATAAAAACATTTTACACTTATGGAGGATTTTCTTTTCTTTTATTGTGGAAGCTCATCGGTCACTCTGCTGTTTTCTTTCTTTTCTTTTTTTTTTTTTTTGCATTGACAGATAAAGGAATGATTGTGGTGTGCAGACGGTGCAAAAGCGCCAGATGTCTGTCTGAATCAGCTGATAACTGAGTTAAGGAGGCCAGCTCCGAGCGGGGAGGAGGAGGAGGAGATCTGGCCCGTGATCAAATCATGCTTCTGAATGCATTCAATTAAGACGGAAGCATTGTTTATTTATTTATTCATTCATTTTTTAATTTTGGATTCATTTGGCGCATGAGTAATGGCGTTTTACTGCAGGGAAATGCAGCATTTTTAATGGAATATTAATTAAAAAAATACACATTTAAATTCTTTTTTTAGCCAGACAGTGATTGATTTATTTTTGATTATTTAAAAAAAATCAAAATACGACATAATTATTAATTTCTTTCTCTGCGTACTTTGTGCAGTCTTGTTCTGATTTTAAATCGTCACGTTAAAAAAAAGGATTTAAATGTATTCTTAAACTAGACTAATAAGCCAATAAATTACAAGTAATCGATTAAATCATGACAAGCACATTTTTTGGAATTTTTATTTTGAAGTGATTTTATTTATTTATTTATTTTAAAAAATTTAATTCATTGTTAATTAAAAAACAAAATTAAATATAAAATAAATAAATAAACAAATCGCCCCAACTCACCCAAAAGATTCTTTAATCAAATCTAGCTGTCTCAACCAAATCAGATTTAATGTGAATGAGTGAATGAGGCAGCAGCAGGATAAACGCTCACATTGATCATACTGTCCTGAACAGATGGAAGAATGAACCGGATCAAACGAGGGTTTGCATTTTATATATTTTGTCACACAGATCATACAGACTGCATTTCTTTATGAAGAAAGGAAACGAAATATATCGCTTATTTCGTATTTATTACGCTGATTTAAACGGTGTTTGGAGCCAGAACTGAATAACAAAGTGGCTGATTTCAATTTAATGTGATCATTTTCTCTGCGGTGAAATCTTGCTTTTAAATTTCCTTTGAAAAATAATAATTAAAAAAAGCTTCTTATTTACAGGAAATAAACTTAAGATGTTTTTTTTTCTCTTTTACTGACATATATTTTAAAACGTTTTAGACACTTGCCACCAGGTGCAGAAACTATGCCAAAAAAAAGAAGCCAAATCATTGACAAAGCTTCTGCTTATCTTAAATATCTTTTAGAAACTAAATGCTGCAGCGTCATCTCAGTGGTTTTATTGTTTTATTTTGTCATTGGCACTTACTGCTGTCATTTTTTCTCACTTTATTAAACCACATTTATGTCATCTTTGATTTATTGCCTATATTACGAGGCCTGCGTCGCCTCCTGCTTACTCCACTGTTTATTTTTAACACTTCAATGGGCTGCCAGCGGAGAAAAAAAGAGAACAATCAGGTCTGGAATGATCGCATTTCAGAAACGTTTTACGACAACGATGACATTTCGTTCATGTCACTTTTAATTTTTTTTTTTTGAACGGAATTCGCGACATAACATGAGCTGATGCAGGCAGGTCATGTGAGGACAAAGGCAAGCAAAAGTTTAAAATTCAGGATCAGAAGAAGCTTTTTTGGTCAAATATGCGTTCACACACAAGAAATCTGACTTCTTTTTTTCCCCCTCTTTTAGCTCTTAAAGCTCTAAATCACACATACATTTCACAGAGCAGCAGGTTAAAGAAAGAAAAATGTGTTTTAAACTATTGTGCACAGCTACATGTGTGAAAAATAACATGTGAGTAAAAAAAAAAAAGAAGTGCAGATTGTGATGATGCGGAAATAAAAGCAATAATTAATAGAGTTAGTCAAACTTTATCTACACGAGGGAGGTGAACGATTAATTAAAACATATTTTTAAAACAGTTTTTCAAATTAAAAGCTTCACCGCGACAGCTGTTAATATGTACAAATAGGGCTTTTTTCCTTTTTTTTTTTTTAAAATGGAAAAACAAAACAATCGATTATCTCGTTTCTGCTTTCCTCTAAATTATGTTCGGTAAAGATAAAAAAAAAAAAACCGCAATATGTTTGTCTTTTAGCAAAAAACGGCGCAAACAGAGATCAGAACGCGCACAGAGCTCTCACTCTGAACGCGTTTTTTGAAAACACCTGTGAGGTGCGAATCGGTTCCGAGAAAAAAAATCCGAGTGAGTCACCTTCAGGATAGACGATCTCCGAGCCTGCTGTTGCCATAGCAACACTTGACAACAACGCTCCCTAACAGAAGCGCTGCGTTGAATCCTTGCGGTGAAACCAACACATTTTTGGGGGATTAGCGATTAAATTTGCACTTGAGAGGAGGACTCTTCCATCAGAGCCACGATGAGTCAACGACAGATCGTTCAAGGTGAGTTTTATCAGCTGTTTTTATTCACAGGTATAAGCAGCTTTGAGCTCACTCTGTTGTGTTGACTAGTTTTTGAGCAGTACCAGAAATCCAGGATGCAGTTCGTGCAGACTGTAGCTGATCTGGCAGCCAGACCACAGAACATAGAAATCCTCAGAAATGCAGGTAAGAAGTCAGATTTTAATCAGCTTGAGCGTCTGGTGTTTCCCCATCCTCACCTCTCCTCACCCCTTCCTCCAGGCGTCATGTCCATGCTGCGTCCCTTGCTGCTGGACGTGGTTCCCAGCGTCCAGCAGACTGCAGCCCTGGCTCTGGGTCGCCTGGCGGACCACAGCGACGACCTGGCCGAGGCCGTGGTGAAGGAGGACATCCTGCCTCAGCTGGTCCAGTCTCTGGCCTCGCAGAATGTGAGCGTCACACACTGTTCACCACTGACAGGGTTTCCTCCGTCCGTCTCTTGAGGCTGCTGTGTGGATGGGGGGGGAAAAAAAGACAGTCAGAGGCTGTCACCCTGCAGGATCTCAGGGTCAGCATCCCCCCCCTCCTCCTCCTCCATCCACCGCCTCAATGTGAGAATGTGTGTTGGGCTAAGTTGGCAGTTCGCCTGGGGGCTACTTGAAAACCTAAGAGCCCTTTACCACGAGAGCAACCAGGCCTTTGTTTTCTCTCCCCCGTCTCTCCCTCTCAGCCCACTCAGAGGCTCAGAAAGGAAGGAGGCGAGGTTTTACTTCTCGTTATTGAAGAGGCATGTCTTGATCTTCAAATCTATTCAATTTGTCAAATATGTGAGGAATTAAGTGTTTACTGTGAACATTTTAAAAAATCATTTATGGTGAAAAATCTCCACTGTGGGAAAAGATCAGAGTTTGAGTTTTGCAGCTTTTAAAGTGGGGTCCTGACCCTCACACACAGGGTCTGTTTGGGATCCTGGAGACTTTAAGCCTTTTTAAAAACACATTTATCAGTGTGATACCTCATGACTTTTTAGAACTGCTATAACCTTGAGAATTAGGCTTTTCTAGAATCTAATTGCCCCAAAATACAAGTTAGATTAGAGGCACAGAACAACACACACATCTCTGTTTTGCCACATAGTTTATTTATGACTGCACAAACCCTCACAGCTTCTAAAACAAATTTGCTCGTTTGGTGCAAAAAAACTTGAGTACGTGAGATGTTCAGTAAACTACAAGGCTCACAATCTTTTTAGTAGGCTTCTCGAGATGACCAGTGTGTGTGTTTGTGTGCAGAGGTTCTACAAGAAGGCTGCTGCGTTCGTGCTGCGTGCGGTTGCCAAACACTCCCCTGAGCTGTCCCAGGCTGTGGTGGCCTGCGGGGGTGTGGACGCTCTGGTGCTCTGCCTGGAGGAGTTTGACCCCGGGGTGAAGGAGGCTGCCACCTGGGCTCTGGGCTACATCGCACGACACAACGCATGTAAGGAGCACACGCTGACGAGTTCTGATTTTTCTTGTTTTCTTGGCATGATAGGATATTTTTTTTAAACACCTCGTCCTCATGTTCCCCTGCAGTGCTGTCTCAGTCGGTCGTGGATGCCGGTGCTGTCCCCCTGCTGGTGCTGTGTCTCCTGGAGCCTGAGATAGCCCTGAAACGCATCGCGGCCTCCACCCTCAGCGACATCTCCAAACACACGCCCGAGTTGGCCCAGACTGTGGTGGACACCGGTGCCATCGCACACCTGGCGCAGATGATCCTCAACCCAGACGCCAAACTCAAGGTGGGGACGGCCTGATGACTGTTTTCATGTCAGGTCTGTTCAAAAGCAGCAGCTGCTGGTTTAACTCAGCCTGTGATGTGCAACAGCATGAATCAGAGACACACCAGTCTCATTTTATTACCTTAGAATCATGATGTTTACAACCTATTTCTCTTTTCTTTGTCAAGTGTTTAAAGGCCCTTACAAAAGCTTCTTGCCAAGCAAAGAAAAATGATCAGAATCCAAGACAGGGAGAGTAAATATTCATGATTACACTGCATTTAGTTTTCATCATGTGTCATCTGTGACTGATGTTAACACCACACTGGAGCAGAGCTGTGAAAATATTCCTTCTAACAAAAACACTCAAAAGAGACGGTTTCTAAATATATGTATATTAAAGGGATTATTTTTTGTGTATTTATCTCATTTCCATTTAAAATTTTACTAACTCTTTTCTGTCTAAATTACATGGGATACAAATGGAATATACAAATTAATTGAACTGATGAGGAAAAATATTTTCAGCTGAATTGTATTTTAAATTGGACACTCAAAATTATTCGTCATCACAAAGAAGAATTTGGCTTCAATTTAGGCTAGAAAATACTGATTTGTATTTTTGTACAAATCACAGTTACAGTATTTGAACTTTTTAAAGGTAAAACTTAATAAAATCTGCCAAGTGGGCGTATTTTGTGCATCACAAAATGTTGGTGATGTTTTATGGATCCTAAAAGCAAACCAATGTCAAGTTTCTGTCAGTCTTAGAAAGGAGAGAGAGAAAAAAAAGCGTTGAAATTTGAACAAAAAGTGACGCCTCTTCATGAAAATCTTCTGTCTTATTTACTCTTAATTCAAAACTCAACTGTTATATATGAACATTGGCTGCATAGATTTTTTTTCTGTTTTTAACCCCAAAAAAAGTGCAATTTAAGTGTGGTTGACCAAACTACCAGGAGAAAATAGTGATATTACAACATCTAAAGGTATTAGAACAGTGAGGCCAAGTCCTTTACTTTTGCTGTAAACTGAAAATATTTGGGTTTGACATAAAATGATGAATATGAGACAAGAATTCAACATTTCAGCTTTTATTTCCCTGTATTTACATCTGGATCTGATACACAAGTAACCCCCCAAACCAAACAACAACCAAAAGAGGTGAAAGCCTGTAAAAGCATCACAAAAGAAGAACGCAAACGTTTGGCGATGTCAGCGGGTCACCGGCTCGATGAGGGTCGAGGATTTGCAATTAAACATGAAGTCTGATTCGCTTTAGTCTATTTTAAGTCAATCTGCTCCAATACTTTTGCTCACCTAGAAATATGGTGTTCCATTACAAATATCATCTAAGCTGTGCAGCAGATCCAGATGTTAACACCTGGAAGTACAAGCTGAAGTGTTGATCTCTTGTCTCATATTCATCTTTTCTCGTCAAACCCAAATGATTTCAGTCGACAGCAAAAATAAAGGACCTGGCCTCACTGTTCCGATGCTTCTGGAAACCTCTCTGCTCATTGATTAAAACTCTAAAAACAAAGTCAAAGTTACATATTTGATTTTTTTTTCTACAAACGTAATCCCTCCTGAATTAAAATGGCCCAGATGCACCTCACCCCCATCGCCCCCTCTAGAATGTGAAGATACTGAAGTCCTCAACTCTCTTTCATGCAGCCCTTCCTATTCACTGCAGCTCAAGCACACCCGCTCACCCACCACTCCGCTCAAACGCTGCAAAACCACAATAGTTGTGATATTAATTTGCAATTTGAAGAATTAATCCAGTTTAACGTTCATAAATGTCAGTTATTTCTCAGACATCTCTTGGTCTCCACACAGAGGCAGGTGTTCTCGGCCCTCAGCCAGATCAGTAAGCACTCGGTGAGCCTGGCGGAGATGGTGATCGAGGCCGAGATCTTCCCCGCGGCCCTGGCCAGCCTCAGAGACCAGGATGAGTACGTGAGGAAGAACGTTGCCACCCTGATGAGGGAGGTGGTGAAACACTCGCCGGAGGTACTGCACACGCTCACACCTGCAGGCACAAACAAAGGAGACACACCAAGTCATCAGTCTATGAATGTGTGCTCCTCCAGCTCTCCCAGGTGATCATAAACTACGGCGCGCTGTCAGGAGTGATCGACTACGTCAACGATTGCCGTGGAAACCTGCGGTTGCCAGGGATCATGATGCTGGGATACGTAGCAGCCCACAGTGAGAACCTCGCCATGGCTGTCATTATTTCCAAGGTATCTTTATGAGACAGCTAGTCCTGCCACTGAAGCCAGAGGCATTCCCTCACATTCAGTATGTAGGTCACATGAAGTGAAGCGGCCCTGCTGTGCTGTGTCCCCTCCTGTCCTGCAGGGGGTGCCCCAGCTGGGCCTGTGTCTGTCCGAGGAGTCCGAGCATCACATCAAGGCGGCCACGGTCTGGTCCATCGGCCAGATAGGTCACCACACCCCTGAGCACGCCAAGGCGGTGGCCACGGCTCACCTTCTGCCCAAACTGCTGGAGCTCTACATGGATGCCAGAAGCTCAGAGGACCTGCAGGCCAAAGTAGGAGTCAAACTTTACTCTGAGACCGTGGGAGTGGGTTTCTTTGTTTGTTCTCATTAAGCAGGGAGGCCTTCCCCAGGAAATGTGGAGCATGAAACTCTTTGTTTCCTGCATTCTGGTGGTTTTTTTTGCTTCAAGGGTTGCTTTTTTTGCTTCATTTTTTTTTGGAATTTTTTTATTTGTATTAAGGAAAATGCAGAATTCAGGCAGACATTAGGTCACAGCTCAAAATATAAATGCAGTAAGACTGTCAGGCATCCTGAGTCAACACACAGGCACAGTTTATTCTTCTGTCCTCTTTTTTTTTAATGTCTTCTATTTGGTGAAGTAACCTCTTTAATGTAGCATCTATCCATCCTTTGTTAAATAAATTAAGCTGGTTTTCTTAATAAACTGCTGGACTTTAATAACTAGAGTTTAAGCTCATGTTCAAATCTTTCTAAAGGAAGCATATAATTAAAAGTCTATCTGTGTTTAGCGATGACTTTCAGGAAACATCTCAACACTGTGAGCCGACTGGAAACAAGAAGACATGTTTCTGGCCATAACCAAATAAATTGATCAAGTCTGTTAGAAAATGAGATGAAGCTAAAGCTTCTAAATAATTCTGGGAAACAAAAACAACATTTCTAAAAGCAATCTGGAAAAACATTACCTAGTGGCTCACAACTAATTAGAAAGAAGTCCTAATATCAGACCTCGTCCTTTTTCTATTCATTTAGCTCCTCCATAGTTGTCAACCTGCCTGCATGCAAATGTATATTCATAATTTGTGAGTAAAAAACAAAAACAAAAAAACAAGCAAACAAAAAACCTTGGTGAAGGCATTGTTGTGTTGATGAGTCCAAAAGAAAGATTAAAAAATAAAGATCCTTGCTTCTTTCATGGTTTCATGGCACATATCTTCAGCACAGAAATCAAAGCAAAACTGTTTGTTTTCATTTTGTTCTACTGGTCTTAAAAAAAAAAAAAAAAAAGCAACAACTTCCAATAAGATTACAGAACAAAGCACTGTCATAAATGATGGAAGTTATCCTTTAGAACAAACCCAGAGGGACAACAGAAACTATTTTAAAGTCATATGCACACGTACAGCTTCTCTGTTATCTGTAGAGACAGTTTACCTGACATTACCTGCACCACCTGATGTGTTTTTCATTCTTCTTGTGTCCTCTTCTTTTCAGAGTAAGAAAGCTCTGAAGAGCATCCTGCAGAAGTGCACCTATGTGCCTGGTCTGGAGCCTCTCCTCTACGATGCTCCCAGCAACATCCTCAAACACGTTGTCTGCCAGTTCAGCAAGGTGAACCAAGACCACAACCTGTCAATGAACAGTTTCCAGTTTGTTATGATTTAGATCAAATTCAAAAATTGAAAAAACAAACAAACTGTATTTTACCCTTCCTCCTCTCGAAGGTGCTGCCTCATGACAGCAAGGCTCGCCGTCTGTTTGTGACCAGCGGGGGGCTGAAGAAAGTGCAAGAGATCGAGGCTGAGCCCGGCTCCGCTCTGCAGGAGCACATCAATGCCATCAACAACTGCTTCCCTGAAGAGTTAGTGAGGTGCAGCCCTTCCTCCATGCACACACACACACACACACACACACACACACACACACACTGGAGCATACGTCACATCATCATATACCATCTAAGAATTGTGTAGCTGGAAATAATTCCTTCCTCTCTGATCCTTTAAGTCACTGTCAGCTAACACCAGCCTTTATTATAGTTTGTAGCATTTTTCAGAGTAACAACATGATGAATAAAATCAAGGCTGCATGAGAATAAACTCTTCAGAGGGCCTTAAGTTACACAGAGCGTATAAATAAAACCTGATGATTAATGTGAATTCAAGAAAGCAAAATGAAGCAACAGATTCTCCATATCGAACCCAGCGTCAGGCATTTACAGTATGTGTGTTGTTGTTCCAGGTACTACACTCCTGGTTACTCAGACGCCCTGTTGGAGCGGTTAGACAACTACCAGTCGGCCTGACATCAGCTCACAGCACCACATCCCGATCCGATATTAACACCAAGATGTGCCTTTACTGAAAACTGAAGCTGGAAGGCAGTTTTCTAACTTTTAGACGTTGTTTTTTTAAAAACTGTATGTGGGTAGCAGCTGCATTCCACTTGAGCCTTACCTTTAAATAAATGTTCTTACATTCTGCTGGAGGGATGGGATCATTTTGTGATTGAATCTATTTCTGGACACTTGAACGGAGAGTTCACAGCCACCGTGGCATGCTGTGGAAGCATTTCTGGGATGCCCACATGGAGAGGTCAAAGGTCAGGTTCGGTGACTCCGCAGCAGGTGGTGGGAACCAAACACACTGAGTCCACTCGGTTCAGACCAACATCCAGCAGGCACATGGGCATCAGGTTTATACACAGTTTATTAATCACACACTTACTGCTGTGTTTCCCACTTGTTCCCCAATGTTGCAAAAAAAAAACACCCACATCTTCCATAAGATGAGATTTCAATGTATTGATCACGCGCTTCTGTGCCTTTTTTCTATAACGCAGAGGAGCAAATATACACAGACAATGTAAATCCTCCGTCCCTGCTGTGGATTTTTTTTTTTTCCAGGGCTCCGACTGCCCCCTGGCGGCCGTGAACGCGCACTGCACCTCAGCTGTGTGCGTGTGCGTGCAGCAGCTGCAGCGCACATGGCGAGCCGCCTCTTTGTTTATTGTCTGCCGGGTTTGTCTCTGCTTGTTCTCCACATTGTACTGACGGTGCAAATAAGCCCCGGCCTCTCACCGCAGCGGAGATCTGAGCACGTTACGGCTGCAGCTGCCGCCATCTCCCCCCCCCAAAGCCCTTCCTCCTTCTTCTTTTTTTTTTTTTCCAAATCTGACCTACAGGACCCGCTTTATCGCTTGTTAACGCGCGTTGTTATTGCAGCGAACATCACCTTCAGACGTCGTTTCTCCTCCTTCGCGTCGGACAAGTTTTCCAAAAAATGCAACGCGGAATTTTCCTTTTGCAGCTGCGTCTTCTGGATGGATCCATGTGGAGGCTGCAGAGCTGCTACGCGTCAAAACTATACATACTAATGTGGGTTTAATTCCGAAAATCTCCTTGTTAACAGTAACAAGGAGCTTTTGCGTAACGACGCATCCACTCTATTGGACTCACCTTTTTTTTTTATTCTAATAAATCCCTTGATGGTAAATGGAATCGTGGTCATTCCGTCCAAATTAATAATCAGAAACGGACCAAACAAGATAACAAATGGAATAAAAATGGAATATATTGGTCTCCATCCAAAACATTAAATGTATGAGTGCATGATGGCAAGAAAAAAAATCGACTCCCATTACATATATATATGTATATCATCTATACATAGGCCCAAGCCTTTTGTAACACGAGATCCATGTTCATAAATAAAAGAAAATTCAATAATATAAAGCGTAATGAGGAACGTTACGCGCCGCGATTGGAAATAAAAAATAAAAATTGCTGTTAAAACGCACGAAAATATGTTTTGTTCCAAATATGAAAAGACTTCATTCTGTCGCGCTTTCATCTAACAGCTGCTTTTTCTGTGTGACATTTCCAGTTTCAAGTGAGGCTGATATTTTTTCCTGGAATTTGGCATTCAGCCTTTTTTTTCAAGGGCAAAAACAGCAAAGAAAATACTGCGAGTTTTAATTTGTTCACAGATGCAGTCAGCCGTCGTGATTTTTTTTTTTTAGGTGAGCTGCTGGTGACAAGAAGTGGTTTTATTTTATTATGTTAATTTATGCAACAGAGTGAAATCATGGAACTGCACAGAGCGGATGCGCAAAAAATTTGTGGCCATGGAGGGATTTTACGCGTTAAATTGGCGGAAATATTTTTTCTTGTTCCTGCGTATAAATGGTAATAATTAATATATATTTTAAAAAATGTTTATAAAAATCTGGGCTGTCCATTAAAGTAACAAAACAGCAACAAGAACGCGTTCATGCCAGTTCAATTTTCATTTTTGCGCATTTCAACAACTTACACACAAATAACTTTTTTTAAAAAATCATTTGAATGACACGACATATAATTGATCTGTTCATCAAAAATAGGAACACAGTAAATAAAGAGGGTTGTTTTTAAAATTAAAATCCAAAAATTATTAAATGGTAAACCCTGCAAAGCTCTGTCTGTCTTTTTTTAACCATGACATTCTTTGTTTTTACACTGTCTTTGCAGAAGCTGCTGGAAATAAACTGACAGTAGAATCTCAAATATAGTTCCATGTGAAGCTGAAGAAACAAACAATAAAGAAATTGGAAAAAAAAAAGGAACTGTGAACAATAAAGAACAAACAAGTCAAGGTAGACTTTGAGTTAAGCAGAACAAGTGCTTTAATTGGTTTGAGTGAACGCTTATGGAATGGAGTGTATTATTATTATTATCATCATCATTAAATGTGAAGAACAATAAACATACAACATCATTTTGGCCTTTCTGCCACTGAAAGGGAAACTCTCACCAACCATTGTCAGACAGCAATAAACACACACGCTCACACACATACGCACACAGTAATGCTTCAACCAATGCTTTAAGTCTTTTAGTTGGAGTCTAGAAGCAGTTGGGGGCTGTTGGGAGACCGAAGCACATCCTGCAGGCTGGTGGTGCTTCTGCTCTCTGGCTTGTTTGACTTCTGTGTGCCGCTTCACTGAATTCAACTATTTTTTTTTAAGAACTTTGGAAATGTCCAAAAAGCTTTGCTGATTTTTTTTTTTTAGAATTCTAAAGCCAAAGAAATCAGTCCCACCTCTGCGGATTGTCCCCGGCCTCCGGTCATTCGCATTTGTAACCTAGTTTTCCCTTAACATTTGATAAACCACATAAACACAGGCCTGTTTTTCCCATAACTTCCAACATGTTCACATATGAGCACTGCACACCTCACTCCATCTACCACAAAGAAAAAAACAACAAAAAACAGAATAAACATACACATTATACGATACACAATGTTCTTCAAGCTCATATGGGGGTAGTTCTGACTGCTTTTGGCAAGTTAACGGTGGCAGCAGGTTAACTGATGGGCGATAAAGTTCATTCATGAGAGAAAGTCACAAAAGCGAGGACTTATTCATTTCAAGGTACAGCAGCAGGGCATGTGTGTGTTATTGTCATCTTTAATTTGCATCTGTTAAAGTCTGGCTTCACCGTTTCCTTTCTTAGATCCAGAGTTACTATTCCCAAACATTAAAAAACAAAAAAAACAACAAAAACCTCACTCAGTATGCACTGCTCTGCTGTCTCCACCTGCAACAAGGAAAGAGCCGAACAGAGCAAAGCAGACTGGAAGATGATTGTGTTCCCTCATTCCCCGTTTTTCTTTATGACATGACCTATGTACATCATGTGACAACAGAAACAAAACAGCCCATCTACAGTGAAAGAACACGGAAATATCCACTAAGCACTGACTCGGGGTTGAACGATCAGATGATAAAGTCCCTGATTACAAGCAGGTGATCTGGGTTACACACAAAATAAAAAAACATGGAGGGCGGGAAGCAAGAAAAAAAAACATGGTTTCAGAAATAAACAGTACGTCGAAGTTAAGTGAAATATGGGACGAACACTTAACGAAAAAATTAAAAAAAAGAAACATCACATCTTGAAATGTGACCGCATGGGTAGTTGTGAATTTCATGAAATGCCGACGGACTCCTGAGGTGAGTTACGCCGCCAGTTAGAAAGGGACGAGCACGACAAAACACAGTCACGACACGCACTCCACAATGCACTTCCACGCACACATTCTTTATAAAGGCAGGACCAGCGCGAACCAACAAAGGATTAATACAAGCAGACACCGCCTCCAGTCCGAGGGGAGGGGAAAAGGATGCCTGTGCACACTGAATAGTCAGGACGGTGGATGTAAATGTACAGAATCCGATCCACCGTCTTCAAATATTAGACAAGTATTTGCTTTTTTTTTTTTTTCTCCCCCCCTCCCCCCATGTTAAAACACAATCCTTGGAATGGTTTTTGTTCAAATGACTGAAACAAATACAGAGGCGTTTGCAAAGTGGGAGAAGGTTGAGCGAGGGGTTGAAAATAAGGTTGCAAATAATACGTAAACACCCTATTATTAAAATAACCTTTTACCTTTGTTTTAAAAAAAGATTACAAAATATAAAATTAAATAATTTTGGAGTATAAAGGCACACATCTTGCACAGTGTATACAATGAAACACAGTTATTTAAAGCATGGTAGGGTCTATTTTACACACCGAACAGCTCACAAATCTGGTTAAAGTGTAGGGGCACAAAGAGAACCTGAACAGCCAACAACACAGACTAGAGAGGGGGGAAAGGAAACTTAGTCCTGTGACATGCAAATTTTTTTTTTTCCCATTTTTTTTTTTTTTTTAAGTTTTAAGTACATCTATAAATTGTAAAAATTCAAGCAGTATCATTCTTCATATACCACAGCACCATCATTCATTCCGAAGGGTGGCTCCATTTGTTTTGTTTTTTTTAAATACAACTATATTTCATGACTAAAATCCAATGTAAAAATATAAATGTGAATATAATCTATGATATCTAAACAAACATATCGTGATGGAAGCTTTTTGCATGGGTTAGAATAGTCAAGAAGGACGACTTTTACTTATTTTAGTCGGTTATCCAGAAGTGATACACAACGTCACACGCAAAAAAACAACTTTTCTCACTCACATACAAGTATATTGCATTTCCCTTGTTAAGACCATTATCGACTAATTGGGATCGTATTCGTAACATTTGGTTCCTTTCCTCTTGTGCAAAATATACAAAAAAAACAAAAACAAAACGACAAAAACTCAAACAGAAAAAAAAAAAATCAATTCATAAAACCGCCAAATTCAAAACATATAATCCACCTTTTAAAAAAAAGTCAAGAATAACACAAACAACGATGAGTAACAGAGTCACAGCCGAGGTTAGAGAACGATGCTGTTGGTGTTAATGACTTAACAACACTTGTCTTTACGTCTCTAAGCTACTCTACCCAACCTCCCCTCTCCTCTCCCCCTTTACGACTTTTGAACACTGACACACGCACCGGTCGCCATCACTGGGTGCGTGCTGGTACGATGCTGGAGGTAAACCGTCTTCTGTCATACTGTTGCCTGATTCCAAACCCCACCACCGCCACAGAGCACTTCTTAAAGGATTGGAACGGTTCGTTTTTTACAAAAAGGACTAATCCACCTTTTCCACTACCTAATATTGCAGTAAATTCTCCCCGACCAATCCCTGTAAAAAGAAACCCACGCATGGAGGAGACGGGATTTGAGATCAGGCTTCTAAGATTCAATTCTAGTCGAGCTTCTTTTTCCTCTTTGTTGCTGCGCATGTAACAGAATAAGAGCTCCTAACCTCTAACAACAAATAAAAGTGCAACATTTTTTTGATTTTACTCATAAGGTGCTGATGGCAACAGAAAGTTAAGGGCTTTTGATGTTTCAGTCTGACACCCTGTACGAAGATTTTATCATGAGGAGTGACTCGAAAGCAGCCACACGTCACTTCTGGGCCATTCTCTGCCACAGAACAGAAACCAAACATATTCAGAGAGAACGACAGTAAAGGGAAGCAGTATGTTCATTCCCTCGTCTTCTCGTTTTTAAGATGCATATCCTTCCCTTTAACATTCTTAATTGCTGTGCAGCACAAAAGGGACAAAGCGCTGACAGACACTGAGGTGTAATTAGTGCTGGGAACAAGCGTTATAATTTACTACACGTGAACTCATGTCAGCTAAAGAGAAGCGTTGGAGCATGTGGCAAGAGAATAACCCAGAAGCTCTATTCGATTACTGTACACGAAAGAACAGGAGGGAAGGGGGAGGCGTCTAAAGGGTGGAGGAGGAACCCAGATGGGAAGGTTTGTTTGGCTGAGTATAGCATTTAGGTGTGGGTCCGGCTGTTGGCCAATTGGAAGACTGCTTCCTACTTCCTGAAATGAAGCAATTGCATTAGGCGAGGCTCAACATAGACTTGATCTTTACATCCCGCTCAAGCTTTCTCTTTGCAAGGGGGGGACCTCGATCTGCACTGTAATCAGACCTCTACACTCCGCTTGTCCTCACACTACACACGTCACACCCTCCCCCACCTCCCCCTCAACGTCAAAAGTAAAAGACAAGTACAAACAAAATGCAGGGTGCTGGATGTCAGAGGCAATTAAAAAAAAAAAAAGCCATATTCCCACATAAACAACAACAAATTATATGAAAAACGTAATGACTTGGACACTTGCTTTTAACACCCTTATCATCCAAAGTAACACATGAACAGAACTCAACAGAGGAGAGGTTAAATGTAAACGAATGATGTTTGTTTTTTTTCTTTTTTTTTAGCTGCAGAGTGTGGCACCCCACTGAAAGAGAGGGGAACAAACAGGGAGGAAAGAGGAGAATGGATGAGGGAGAGCGACACAAAGCCATCACAGCACCTTATTAATGCAGCCTCTCGATGGTTTTCCTCTCCGTCACATTTCATCTCCACCCTACTCCCCGCTTGCCCTCCCCTTCCCATGTGCCCCTGTGCCCCTGACGCTCCTGGAGGCTATGACAGGATAGTGGTGATGAAATCATAAAACCTCTTGGAGTACTGCTCTGGGTTCACCGTAGAGATCTCTGCTCCAGCCTGCAGAAGCACACACACACACACACACACACAATTCACCACGTACTGTTTTGAAATCATTCAGATTTGTTTTCTACAGAAGAATTTAAATAGCTCATAGCCACTTACCCCATGTTTGACAGTCTTGGCGGCGTGGGCAGCTTTCTTCTTGGCATCGTAATGCTGTAGGATGTCAATGACAGCCATGAAGTAAACCTCCTTCCTGGGAGCACCTGTAGTTTAAAGCAAATGCACCATCAAGATACGTCTGCACAGCGAGAAATAACAGACACTGCTGAGAAAGTATTCACTTTTCAATGACAAAAATATCTGAGAGATTTTTGACAGCAGCACATTTGAAAACTTGCATGAAAGCAGCAGCCTCCAGTAGGGGGAGCTCTCAGTTCTGTGTTTTCTTAATGAAATGGCCGTTAAAAACAACTCTCACAATTCAATAGTTGTATTGCACCTTGCAGTAAAAACCACATAGAAACCACTCACTGTCGTTGCTTTTGATGGCATAGACGTCAATGGCGGGGTCAAACTCCCCTGGTGACAGAGGCTTGGTGCTGTCCAGGGTGTTGCTGGGACTGTCGGGGGGCGTCCCGATGCCTCCTCCGTCGCTCTCGCCCTCCTCCTCGGCCTCGTTGTCCTCGCTCTCCACGTCCTCCTGCTCGGCTCGCTCAACGTCGTGGATCCCCACCAGCAGACTGTAGTCCATGAGCTTCAGCTGGGCAAGGAACTGAGGATGATGGGAGAAGGTAGGATGGTGGAGGAAACAACAGAAAGTGTAGCAATGGGTGGTGCATTAGGGTTTAAAGGTGGAGGAAGATCGGGTGGAGGTAGAGTAGAAAGGAGGAGAAGTTGAGAGTCAAATTGAAAAAGGGTTAAGGAAGAGTGAAGGGCTGACGAGAAGATTTATCGCACGATTCTCTACCTTAAAATTTGTTTAAAAAGAGCTACATCCTGCTAAATGTACAATTTAATGCATTATTACACAAGTTATGACACAACCCAAACGTTGAATGACAATGAGATAGTACAAACCCTACATCCTAACACATACCTCCACGTCTTTCCTGAGCTTCTCCAGGAACATTTTCTTGTTCTCCCCGTCAATGTAGATCTTCTGCCCATCGTTGATGAAGTCATTGTCCTTGTAGGTGGGCAGCTCCTTGGCCTGCCCATTGGTATGGAAAATTAATGAGCAGATAAAAACAGCAAAACACAACACGACCCCAAGAGGTGTGTGTACAGCGGACCTGGGCAAAAATGTGACAGAATTCTGGTGCTTAAATCAAGTGGGACTTTCCATTTAAAAGGCTACATAGTGTCAATAAAAACCAATTCCTCCAATCAAATAAAGTTTAAATCAGTAAAAAATATTGCAACATAGTTTAAAAATATTTGATATAAAGTTAGAAATAAAATATTACAAACAGTAACACCAGCATTTGTCGTCTTAATCCTTTTTCCCCAGAATACCTCATCAGCAATTAAATATACTGTACATGTCATTACACAGGACTTAAAGATGGCATATGGCTGTCTTGCTCAACTTTAAGAATTAGGGGTATTTCAAAAGGCATGGTAACAAAGATTAATTCTAAGCTTAGAAATTAGTCGTGTCAACAGTGCGTGTAAATGTATCTGCCTGACAGTCCCGCATGTTGAAATACCCCGTTCACATACATGAGGCGTTGAGCCTGTGGTTTGTTAGATAAGCCTGTCTGATTCAGCCAAATACACCAAACATTACTGGTAAATTGAGTTGGCTTAACAAGGCACAAGCAGTCCTTCCAAACCAAGGCATACCTCTTTTCAAGCTAAATGATTTGACCGTGTAATAAAGTGCATGCAGCATGCTCACAGCAGGGTACAGATCCATCTGATGCACCAAGTCGCATTGTTCGCAGTGTAATATGTTTATTGTTTAGTATCACAAAACACAGGGCACTTTTCTGGCACATTGCACACCGGTTTGGACAGTCGCATCTGGTAGATCCATACACTTTGTGTCATGAAAATAAGGACGTCTAACTCAAAGCCACGAAAGGTCCTTTTTGGCACTGAGCTAGACACCGAAAAGCATCCATGCCTGTCAGTTTGATGAGAGTATACTCCTACCTGAGACAAATTATACTATCATAGTTCTTCTAAGATGCTTTTCAGACACTAGATGTTGGTTTGCAGCAAATATAAACTGTTTTATAATTCTCTAAAGTCGGTGTGTCTTTGAGACACATTCTCAGTGTTCACTCTACAAGCAGAATGAAGGAGTTTCCCATTTAAACGTCCATCTACTGGGATTAATTTTCTTCTCAACCAAGCTGCTGCAAAACTGCCAACAGCCTGTAGGGGGAAGAGGTGTTATGTGGGGAGGGACAGGGCCTACTTCTGAGTCACTAAGGAAAAAGAGAGCAGGAAATGAGGTAACGGGGCGGCAGCAGCAGCCGTTTAGCTACTACAATGTTTCTATGGCAGCAGGAAGAGAGCAGCAACACATAACAGCACTTTGTAGCACTAGAATGGCCTCAGACAACACACACACATACATACACATACAGAACACATCTTCACACGGATGAAAACAGGAATACAACACACAAAATAGGACACTTGAGCACATATATATACAGACATAGACCTCCAATTTGCATTAAATATGGGATGTACAACTTGCTTGACTGAACAGAGATGCGACATAAAAAGTAAATGAGAACACAACGTGACACTGACTGCTAGGAGTGAAAATAACCTGGAAACATTTGACAGGCCTATCACCTAAACAGACACTTCAAACCTGACGTTCATCCATCTTTCTGTGCATTCGTTTCAACTGTCTTTTATTTCCATGCCAAAGTCTTTCGAACCCATACATTATGTATTGTGCTCCTCCAAGTCATGCATAGGCATTCTATCAGTTGGACTGTCATTGATTTTCTCTGTTACGCTGCCTACAATATGATGTGTCTGACTCTTGACTGGTGCACTCCATTGCGGGAGTAAGAAGAAAACAGAAAGATATATTAGAGGCAGGAAGAACGGGTGAGTTATTGATGAGCCTCGCAAAGCGCGTGACAGGTGAATTTCTCCGCGACCTTAAAGATTGAATCTCGTTTCTTTTCTGTCTTCCGCTGGTTGGAAAATGAGGCTTGATGTCTTGCACACAAAGCTATGCCCTTCAGTGGGATTTGTGGAAGGCTAACACTGGGATTTTCCTAGACCTTTATAACCTGTTATATTCCTTACAGTGTTGTCAGGTGTAGATTAACATCCCCTCGCAGTTTTAACATCAGTATGGAATTCATAAATTATGAGCTGTGACGGCAGCTGTCAAATCTGTCTGAACGTGTTATCATATTATATGTAACAGTCACTGCCAAACGTTGCAACTGTTGAAATGTTATCCAATAGTTTGGATTCAGTGACTAGCAGATATATTACAGGCACTTAAATATAAAGAGTAACATTAAGTAGGAACTTTATATGTTTATTGAGCACTGTCAAACGTGAAGACACAGTATAAGCTGTGTGCATAATTTATATATAAAGAACTGTTTGGGTCTGTGCAGTAACAAATCATTCTTGAAAACAAAAGTGAAGTACTCGTATGTTAGCTGGCACGAAATTTTGTCAGAAGTCCCTCTTGATAACCAAACTATTTGTGCCTCTATACTAAAAACATTATGGTTGTCATAATCTAGATCATTAAAAAAAAAAAAAAAAAAAAAGTCTCCAAAACTACAAACAAACTGAAAAGTGAGGCAGTTATTTGCCATACTCATCTGAGGATGCTGACAATAAAAGCCTTATTGTGGAAATAAAACAAACCCGACTCATTCCTTAGATTAGTTTTTAACGACTTTTGCTCTATTGACCTTAAGGAAAAGGTTCTCTTTTGTATAAGCAGCTACTCTCCACTGGCTTTCAAACACATAAAAATGTGGACTGTGCAGTTTACCAGTCCGTACTGCGGAGAATACCAGGATTTTAGGTAGCTCAGTTGTTAACTCGTAAATACAACACCAACAAAGCAAGGAAGTTGAAATGAATCATCCTACTCTTGCAATTCTTGCTCTCCAGTGTTTCAGACACATGTAGGTGTCACTGAGTGAATGGTGGGAACAAAAATGATTTGGCAAAACTGAAACTGAACTCACTGACAAGTTGAGCAAAAGGTGATTGTAAATGGATGAAACGTGTGCAAAGTATGGCCTTGAAGTAACAAGTGTGTCAGGCAAGAGAATACGAGGAAACTGAAATGTTCGGCCGTACAAAAAAAAATAACAATAAAAGAAGATTGGTTTAATAGATCATGCCTGGTATATGAGCCCTGGTTCTCTTACATCTCTTACGTGTTTCATGGCGCAGTAAAAGCGCGTGGCAATCCGCAGTGTTTGCAGCCTTTGCTGAACGTTACCAGATTTGGGCCGCGGGGGCACATCCTCTGGTGGGGGTGGCTGCTAGAAAAGGGGGAGCGAGGGAGGGACGGTAGGGGTGGAGGAGAGGAGAGAAGAAAGGAGAGAGGAAGGAAGTTGGAAGTAAAGGCAAAGTGTTTAAAATGTAACAGAACACAATAGTTTTTCAAATTGGTAGAGGGCTGGAAAGGGCATCAACGCGAAAGATCTGTAGGACCAGTCTGGAGGTTTATAAACCTTAAAAGTCTTTACAATGGCTCGGTCAAGAAAGTGTATATCAGTCTCCCACAGGCTCATCCTATGACGATGTAAGTAGGTGTAAGGATTTCTGCTCTTATACTATTTAAATGCTATTAGTTTCTTTTATCAACAGGGTTTTAGACAGTCTCTCTACACTCCACATATAAAGAGTGATATTCTATAGTCTGCCCAGAAATGTGCTGTGACCTTTCCCTGGTATACTGGCTGGTGAGAAAAGAAAGCAACCTGGCAACGCTACTGTAAGGAGCAAGGATCTAGATCTAAGCAGAGCAAGGAAACTAATTTGCATTCTATGAAACTGCATTCTGCCCGACATCTGATCAGGTGTGGTACTGTTTCGAAAAATTAAATATAGAAGCAGTTCACACTCATTCATATCGCCACATTAAAGCCATGTGCCCCCACTGGAGACACCAGCTGGTGCTGCCGTGAGGAGAGAGAGGACAGTATGAAAAACAACTGTAGCCGAGGGCCTCTGAGCAGAGACCTCGTGGAGACACAAGTTCCATTCAACAAACCAGGGACCAGTAGCTATTTGATGACATACAAACACAACCTCTACATTTTCCTGGTCAAAAACAAAACTGTGACTTCACAAATCGGTGTTTGATACATTGCGGGTCATTGTCCTGAACATGTTCAGGACAGGCTTTCTGGGGTTAACAGCAAAGTAAGTAAAGCATCATAGAGTAACTAATATGATTTGATAGGCCTATGTAAGACCAGAAAAAAGTTTGTACCCTAGTTAGGATCATTGGAGAGTAAAAAAAAAATTAATTAAAAAAAAAAAAAAGGTGTACACCCACTACCTGTGTGCTTCTTTATGCATACATAAAATGCGTCTGGAAAACCAACTGCTGCTGTTTATCGCCAAAACCTGGAGACAGCAGCTATAAGATCCACAAAACGTATTTTATGAAAAGAAAAATACATGTCATATGTGTGTAGAACGGAACATGTTCACAATGTGCAAAAAGAATGAGGCTGGTGTTCATACACATTGGAATGTGTTAGAAATAATATAACATCATAAATGATGCAGAAAAACATTGTATACCATGCAAACACATGCATGAAAGGGGAAGGGCCATGCAGTCAGGAGAGGACCCTGCCATGCTTGTTGTTTGTGTGTGTGAAGCATTTGTTTTTCAGACACACACTGTACCTTCTGAACAAAACACACGATTTTCATCATTCATTTGACCTTCTTCTTCGTCTTACTGTCAAACTGCAGTGTGTGAGTGTTCACGTTAATATGAACTTGTGTTGTATACTTGTAGATTTAAAGAAAACAGTTATTTACAGAACGTTTGTAAAGTGTAACTGTAAATGATCTTGTCATTTGTATATATGTGTGTGTACATTTAAAGGTGTTTCAGGTGGAGAAATCAGAATTGTCTGGTCAGATCCTTGTCTTTGATGTCTGAGCCTTACATTCAACACACACTGTATTCGGACAATTGACGGAGCGGGTGCTGCAACCCTATGGTTTCACTATAAATTAAAGTGGCTACACCGGGCATGAGAGCAGTATGTAAGTGGTGCATATGCACTGTGGTGATCCACTCTACAAACGTAAAAATAGGCCAGTCTTCTATTTATATTTTTACATGAGGTGTGCACGGCCCTTTTACACAGAAATGGGTCATAAAGTCTCCATGTTTTATATAATGGTGCACTTTATATTGAACAGGGTTTCCACGTGGGGTCTTGATCACTCGCTCTGCATTTACTTTGCCAGTACAAGCTGGTAGTTGCTAAGCAACTTTAGACTGTATATGATAACTTACCCGTATTACACAAACTCAGTAACAAACTTTAAGTTCCACAGTGGTGTGGTGGGCCCAAAACCTGAGACGCAACGTAATTCCAAAACAAACGCTTACTTTCTTGTTTTTTCCTGTGACTCATGTAACTCTGGGCTATACCAGAAAACAAACAAACAAACAAACAAACAAAAAATTCTGTGGTACATCCGCTCTACAAATGGTCCGCATACACTACATGTTCAACGGTGGCTAAAATTTAGGTTAAACCTTAGAGATCTGTTGGGTGTGAAAATGTGTGAGTGATCACATACTGTATTTTTGCATTTTGAAACTAGGTATAATATATTTATAAATATACAAATGTATATGCAAGACAGAGGCTTCACCTATTGTTACAATTACTGTATATTGATTATTAATATATTGTTCTAAAGGTAAACCAACCAAAGAAACAAACACAGACTAACAGCAACAACTTGTCACAGTTTACCAGTAAAGAATTAGTGTTAGAAAACAACATTTTCCTTCATGTTGGCTTGCCAAAATGTATCCTGCTGTTTCTTAATCTCTGTTGCTAGACAGTGGTGCTTCACACACAGCTGCGCTACTGACAAAAAGAGGTCACACAGGAGGCTCACGTGTGCGTTAAATCCTCAGCTGCTTTGTTTTTCCACTCATCTGCTTTAACCCCAATAATGTTTGGTTTCTTCCACCATTTACAGAGGCTATCTTTAATTCTGGGATTCCCTGAAGTCTTCCATGACTCACTTTATGCTGCCCCACGATTAAACCCCTGTAAAACCTGTAGAAAGTTCAACCCTGGTTCAAAACTGTGACGGCCTCATATAAAAACCTTTTTCGTGTTCAAACAAACCTGTGCATGGCAGATGTGGGGACACACAATGAAAAAAAAAAAACAACAACACTGTGTACAACCATCCCCCCCTTCCAATATTGCTGAACTGGCAAACTGTACTCCAAAGTCAAAGCGTTCAATGACACTGTCAGCAACTTCCATCACTCAAGGACAAAGCCTTCTATTGAAAAAGAAAAGCTGATTATATTGCATCATGTAAGGTACCAGTTCTAATTGTCAGCTAATGAGAATGTAAAAAAAGGAAGCACAGCAAACTGGTCCGGTCTTTGCAATTTCTGTAACACAATTGAATTTTGACAGGTGACACTGTTCAAGCAGCCAAAAGCCAAAAAACTCAAAACAGGCAGTGGCTCACATCAAGCAGCAACATTTCCATTGCTATGAATCACACAAAATTTCTTGCTCATATGTACTGCGGATATACACAGAACACCCAGTCGGATACACAGCTAGACAGAAACACATACAAAGGACTACTGAATCATGAGACAACATCTGACCGAATAAAACTCTAAACCCAGCACATACCCAGACATACACACTCACACAGACGTGCACACAACCCCTCAATCTGTAACACACAGACAGCAAGCAGGGGAACTGATGGAACAGCGGAAGCAAGGTTAGAGGGGATGAAGCAAATTAAAAAGACACAAATAGCGTGCAGTGGCTAGAAGGGGAATGGGGTGATGAAGGAGGTGCTAACTGAAGGAGATGGATATTTGCTACTGTCATCCGCACCCAAAAGGGAAACAAAAGCAGATACCAAAATTGTGTTAGTTGGGCCGTTTGGGTGATGACAGTGAGCCTGGAACTGTTTAAAGCTGTGTCGGCTACTGAAACCACTGGAAACACAGGTTGTTTTCTCTCTCATTCTCTAATTGTTCACATGGCTTTTAACTGACATGTAGTTCCATCGCATTAACTCAGGTTCATATTTTGTACATCTCTGTACAGAATTAAACTGAAAGATAGACAATTGTTTAGTATATTTGTAAAATGTTCCTGAGATCTTGAACAGGTGTTTTTGTTTCCTACACACAAGTGACACCAGAATTGAGATATTAGTGGTGTGCAAGTGCTATGTAAGTGTCCGTTGTTCAATCCACACTGACTCCCATCACCATACAGAACTAGATACTCTCTCAGTGACGTTTCTCCTGATATTTTAACAAGTGAAAAACTGGCATTGTTCCTGTTTGTGTATTCATATACCTTCTCCCACAATATATAGAAAATGGGAGATGCTTCACAAATATAGGGAAACTAATCAGAACAAAATAGTTTAAGCAGAGTATTGATCTTAAATATAATGCTGGTGTGGATTATTACACTTTTAGCACATCAGTTCTGAGGGACAAACGAGTCATGTACCCCTAAAATATTCATCCAAGACATGCTTTCAAAACAGGTTTGTGGTGTGGATTGTCTAATTTCTTTTGGTCAGTTTGTAAATTTACGTGCAACCGTAAGGCATTTGCTGACTGTGCTCTGTAGATCGGAGTTGTTTTTTTTAAATTTCTTTAAATTTTATAATATTATTAATCTTATTAGTCTGTTTAAAGCAAACGTTAATGGTTAATAGGTCCTGTGAGTAAGTTTACAAGTGAATGAGTATGTAACAGTGGATCCTGGCTCATGACAGGTGACTGTACCTTCTCCTTGTCACTGGCCTCTCTTGCCACAGTGGAACCCTAAAATAAAAAATAAAATAAAAAAAAGTCAGAAAAGAGGGTGCCTGTCAGCCAGACACTCTGACACTTGTTTTGACCCCTTATTACCCAATGTCTAAGCAGGGCTCCAGTCTAACTTTTCACTGACAGCACCGGTATGGCAAACTTTTTCATTTGGTCGCACCTTCCACCTTGCCACGGGCAAAACATATGACTTGCTGAACATTTTATTATGGACAGACGCTACATTTTATCGATGTTCCCTTAACGCCTCACATTGCAGGCTGCGGTAGCTTCTGCTTGGTGGCTGTGGTGTGCTCAGACAGGTGTGTGACTGAAATTCTGTTGAAAATAGTTTAAATAGGACATTCCAGTATGAGATCTGTCCATTTTCTATGAGAGAAAAATAGCACATTTAGGTGAGCTCTGCTTTTCATGAGAAGACCGCATTTTTAAGCGTAAATACCGCAGTACACCAAAGTTATAAAAGTGCTACTTTCCACCACTGTGGTTAACACAGTGGCTGCCTGTGCCCGTTACAGCGACACTAATACAGCTTAGTGATCATCATGCATTCGCACCGATGCCACCGCTTGAAATTTTAACTGGCACACTCTCAAAAAACAGGTCTGGAGCCCTGCTAAGGCCTGGTATGTTGAGTAGTTTCACAGATGATTTTTTCCATGGGCTTGAACTGTACATGAGCTTTCACAAAATATCTGAACTATATACAGACCTGTCGTTGAGAAAAAACAGAAATAAACTATCAAATTCATATAATTCTTGTGACAAAAGCTTAGTGAATCAGTGAAAAGGGCTCTTGAAATTAGAGGTAACAAGGGTTTACTACAGTGCAACTATGGAATAAAACGACAGTCTTATATCAATGCTTATCTGATCACCTTCCTTTCACCCCCATCTGTTCTTCTCCCCCTTCCCTCCTACCTTGAGATCATATTTTTTGTAGACGGAAAGGCGGTGGGAGAAAACATTGCGTGTAACAATCATGTAGGTCTCATCTCCATCCACTGTGAGCCGGTACATCCCCAGAAACTGAGGCAGCAGCGTGTTGCCATGGCACTCCACGATGAACTACCAAAAGAGAGGGAGGAATACAAATGTATTGCTGTTTTTTTAACAGTCACAATGGATATGCACTGGAGACGAGACTGTAAGAAATAAATAAAAAAAAAAGGTTTATAAAACACAGCATGATCCCATTATGACTTCATAGTGATCAACTGTGAGGATATAATTAGACCGGAAGGCGCTGAGAGGCTCTTTCAACAACAGCTATTCTGGGAAATCACATGAATCTGTATGCTGAAAATTTTTGGTATTTATTGAGGAACCTAAAATCAAGGTATAGCAAAAGTTGAAAATTGTACAACTAATGTGGACACTATTCCACAAGGCGCAGAGCTATTAAAAAAGCTAGACTTGTGCGTGTTCTCAGCCTGTAATGAAAAACACAATTATGCAATCATCCATCCATCCATCCATCCATCCATTATCTATACACCACTTAATCCTCACTAAGGTTGCGGGGGGGCTGACTTAGGGCGTAAGCAGGGGACACCCTGGACAGGTCGCCAGTCTATCACAGGGCTACACTTAGAGACAGACAACCAAGCACACTCACATTCACACCTATGGACAATTTAGAATCATCAATTAACCTCAACATGTTTTTGGACTTGTGGGGGGAAGCCGGAGAACCTGGAGAGAACCCACGCTGCACGGGGAGAACATGCAAACTCCGCACAGAAAGTTCCCGGGTGTCCTCACCGGGACACGAACTGGCGACCGCCTTGCTGTGAGGTAGCGGTGCTTAACCACCGAGTCACCTTGCAGCCCTTATGCAATTATGGATCAGTTTATTAGGGGATTTTGTGCAAGCTCTTTAAGACGAGAAACAAAAGATATTCAACAACAACAACAACAAAAAAATCAAGGCTTATATTTATTGATATCATTAATAATATAGGCTTTTTTCACCTGATGGTATTTCTTTAGAATGTTATGCATTTCGGCCACATCCTCACTGCTGATGGTCTTGATGACGTAGCGCTTGTCGTAAGAGGTATGGAAGCGGGCCCCACTGCGTCCCTGGGCCTCACTGTTCAAAGGAGCGCTGCGTGTCAAGGAATTCTGTAAACACAGTGCAACAAGTTAAAAAATATATCAGAATTTTTAGGATATTGATACTGAAATGTCTTTTTTTTTAATTATTATTTGCAGAGAACAAAATGCTGTTTTGCTTCCTGAATGGCTTAATTCATTAATAGTTTTGAAGAGTCTAAACTTATATTGATCTCTTTGAGCTGATGCTAAAAAGCCATTTTCTGAGCATTGAACAGCTAAGAGCAATTCTTTCAGTGTATTTGGATGAATCAATATAGCATGTCCTAGATCCACCTTCATATTGTCTCACAACCACCCACACTCCAGTCTAAACATGAGGTTCTGACCCCTACGCCTGCTGTTGGTCCAAAGCTACACACAGACACAAACAGCTGCTGCCCAGACTTTGGAGCTCAAAAGTAACATGATCCAACACCCCCTGGCTCAATGCTGCATTCTGTAAGAATTCCTCAGCCCTTAGCTCCCGCCCCTCTTAGCATCTATAGCTTGTGTTGCAAAGTGAGAACCAACTTTTGAGGTACATGGTAAAACATTTGTTTTTGTGTTAGGGACTAAATTTGGTTGAATATTTGTTTCTTCAGATTCTGAAAAGCAGGAAAGCTAGGATTTTTGCTGATAGTCCAAGTCTAGTGTAAGGTTGAAATGGTTTGTGTCACAATCAAAAAATATTTAACTGGACTTTTGCTTAAGACTGGCATAAATAAATAAAAAAATATCAAAATAACATTCACATTTTTTTTTGTTACAGATAGTCATTTCTTCCACAACGTATTTGTCCAAATGTGGAGAAAACCCTGTTTGCAGTTTGGTTAATACTGCTAGCATCACTCATTAAATCTAATGGTTACTTCAGCATGGCATCAAATAAGGGATATTGCCGAGGTAATCAAAAATAAAGCCAGCAGCGTGATTTTCGTGCAAGGGCAAGAAGAAAAAGAAAGAAGTCTAAATGGACAAACCAACCACCCTTTGACAATGTGAGTAGTGCCCCATGGAAAGCAGTTTAATATCGAGAATGTAACATTCCTTCAGACTGGTCAGTTTCTCAACAACTCTAACTGCCCACTCACTACAGCCAGCTGAACCCTAATGTAAACATGTAAGAAGGACAGCTGCACTGAGCTGGGACACAATGACCTCCAAATACTGCCAACTCACTGACTGCACTGGGAAACAGGGATTTACTAGGAAAGAGTGGAAAATAAAGGAAGAGAAGGGTGGGCTCAAACAAAAGAGTGCAAGAGCAGTTTAACAGTTAAACTGCGATCAAGCTTGTTTTGGAATAGTTATATTTCAGCAGCATAAGAGAGATAAAGAAATTAGATACATCAACTTCCAATAAATTATGTATTGACTGTAAATGATGTGATTGTTTACAGTAACAGCTATGCTCATATTCATCAGTACACACCAGTGCAGTACTACAAAGATTACAAAACACTAAAATGTGACCCAGATGGCATAGAAACAAAACTTGACTTTTCAGATGTTTGAGAAAAGTACGGAATCTCTTTATACCAAGAAGTCCTGATCATCGATGCCAAACCTCTCTCTGAGGTTTCGAAACACCAGAGGGCAGTACTCCTTGAACTTGAAATGGCTGGGCATGTTCTCCCTAAGTGTGCATTAAAAAAAACAACAAAAAAAGAACAGAAGGGACATATTTTATAAGATGCTGCAGTTCAAAATAATGTATTTTCACTGTTCCTTCAATAGTTCAAGGAAAAACAAGAACATATTTTACAGTGTCACTTTTTTGTGCAATACAATAGTCATATGGTATACTTGAAAAGACCGTACTTGTTGAAGAGGTGGTTGTCCACTTTAATCTTAGAATAGGCCTTGAAGTCGTCTGGCATGAGCATGATGGGAATCTGAACATGGCTTAACTCATTTATCTGTGGAGAATAAAACATCAAAACAGAAGAGATCAGCAGTGAATCTTGCAATACAAAGCACACCATATATGTCAATAAAACTACATGGCACATTACAGATGATCAGTGAACTTAATGCTTAAAGGAATGCTTGTTAATTCTTCAACTAAAAGTAGAGCCGGGTGAGCATAAACTTTTTGACTCATTCAAATTCAACTACTTCCTTTGCACAATGCGTAAAATATCTAAATTGAGTGAGCAAGATATGTGCTTCCCCTGCTGTCTCTCAAACAATGCCAGCACCAGTGATGACAAATAGCTCTGCGGAATCACACCAGTAATGCAATATATCGCAGTTTCCTTGGAGACACCAAAATGTGTGAGCTTTGCTGGTGAAACACACTTGAATAATAGCAGCAGCTGATGACAATGAAAAATCCCGAAGAAGAGTCATCATATTATTTCAGTGATACTGAAATTGTCTGATTTATCAAAGTTGCACAGCTATATAGTTCAGTAGCTCTAATATAGGACTTCTGTGATTATAACACTCTCTTTCCAACATGTGCTTTGATCAAACATATTTACAACCATCTCCTCGTAGGAAAGTTTGTCTGTAATACCATTAATCCAAGGAGAACAGAGCCCTCATCATTAAAGCTTTATGTATGTACAAGTGAAACATGAAATGTGGTAAAACATGAAACCCCCATTTGACCAACAGTTGCACAATCACATGCACTCTTGTGTAAGACTTTTGAAAGCAGTCAAATCATTTTCTCTGATACTTATTTCGTCATTCTGAGCTCATCATCCATGACACCCATATGTTTGACGGATTTTAGTAGATTAATTTCTACATTAGGGAGACGCTGTGTGTTAGTTTATAGTCATTCTGAATTTATTTTCTCAACAGCAGCGAAACACACAAGAGCCTTCAGAACTTCTGCAGCTTAAACTGAAACACTTTTAGGGCTGACTAAATGAAAACGCCAGCCTTGCAGCATTAAAACTTTAAAAAAAGTCATGATGAAAAAGAAAACAATTTTTGAATCTTGATTTTACTTGAGTTTATAGACAATAGGAAAAAAAAACACGACTGAGTATGCAAGATTGGAAAAAATATAAAATAACACTATTTCAACAAAAGTGTCACACTTTGTGTCTGTATTTCCTAACATGTTACTGTAGCATTTCAAAATATATAAATGCAGGGATTTTCTACTTATGCAGCTATTCAACAATGTACAGAGCAAACTGTGTACTTCTTACCAATGCTCATCTTTTTCACAATGCACTCATGATTGCACTCACCATGCAATCATCGTACCCAATAAAGTGCATCCTTTCAAAAAGTTGTGCAAAGGTTGACACCTTCAAATGAAACCTCACATGATCACACACACACACACACTAGCATGTTTATATATATATATAGAACAGTCTACCTTTGCTATACTGCACAAAAGCCAACCACCTATGTTATAACTTACAGCTCTTTTTGTTAATGACTTCAGATACCTGTAAAATTTCAAGTACTGCAAAAGAACTAAAAAAGCAGGTGTAGCATTCACAAGGACGAACTTACACCTTAAAGTGCTTTTTCCTAATCAAAGTAGACATATGGCAAGTTCTTAGGCCTAATTTATATTTTTTATATTTCAGGTCGAGGGTTCTGGTCTGGGTCATCAATCAATACCGATCTTTGGCACAGAACATTCGGTGATGAGGGCAGTTTGTAGATTACATTTTCAGGATGATGTAGCCACAGACTTGAAGGACAGTTGCAGGGCAACGGCAAGAGGAAATGTTGCCAGAACTGCAGAAGCGTCAAGGTGTTTTAAATACACAAAGACAAAGACAAGATGGTGAGACAAGAGTGACACAGAGGCTAGAAACAGAGAAAGCAAGACAGAGGTGACAGATGACATGCATGTGTGTATGAGACAATGCTAGGATATGTGTCATCTTGCAGTAAATTCAATCTTAATATTCTGTAGTCCATGATATGGTTCTACTTTCTAATTTACTTCTTTAAATATGTTAATGATTCAAGAGAAGATGAGCAGTGTCTTTTTTTGTATGTGATGATGATCCTAAAAATGCAATTTCAAATTCAGTAAGTAAGTTCAGCATAGGTACAAAATGAGCACTCGTCTTTTTAATACTTAGACCTTTAGTATGTCACAAACAAATCCAGACAACTCATGGAATGTTAAAAATATATAAATGAAAACCCATGAAGTTTACTTTGAGTTTTTAAGAGTGGGAGTGTTATGTTTTCAAAATGTCAATCATTCACATGACAACTATGAAACTTTAAGACCATTAGTGTGAAATAAAATTAAAACACCTAAATGATTTAATCAGATGTGTCACGATGGCTGTCCAACTAGGTCAGTCACAGTTATGGAATAACTGCAATTATTTGTGCTAACTGCAACTGTTTTGCATATTCACTAAAAATGCTTCAGCTGTGCAAAAACAGTTGGATGAAACTAAGAGAGATATACTTCAATTCCAACTCATTTTCAATTTGCACCCCCTTCTTTTGCTATGGTTTAATAGCAATTGTCTATCTAAAGCCACTTAACCTTGAATATTTGATCAAATGAAGTTTGAGAAGCATCTATTGACATTTAAGTCATGGCTTTAGTTTCTAAGCCACACACCACACACCACTGTGGACACATTTTGGTTTTAACCCAGATGAAAAAAAGAGCTCCATTACTTAGGAGATAATCTGTTGCATTTACAGCAAAAAGGTGACTGCATAAGCTCCTAACACTACTAATTTCAAACTAATAGAGGCATAAAATGGGAGAAAAACATAGTTATCACAATTATTTGCAAGACAGTTATTGCCAACTAAAATTTTACAGGACGCTTCAGTAAACCTTGCACACTACATAAGCAGCAGGGCTTCAGACACCTAAGGTGCATTTGCAGGAATTTCCATTCGGAGCTGGCGATGCTTTACACTGCTGTATTACGTAGACCTGACATTTGTTATGACTCAGGCACAGCTTGATACACATATTGCGTGTGTGTGTGTGTGTGTGTGTGTGCGCGTGTGCATGTGTGTGTACGCGCATATCTGTTGTTGGCTGCTAGCAGGGATGCTGGCAGGTTGTTTGAATCTATTAATAGCCTATCATTCCACTAAGCATACTCATCATGTAGGTGCACTGAATAAGCCTTAATACTTTGATTGACTACAACATTAATGACAGAGGAACGTGTAGTGTGCATTCCTCTACAGCACAGTCTCAAATGTAATTTATACATTGCTTAGAACTAGGGCTGTGCAGAGATACATGGCATGCTGTCATATCACAATTCTACAAGCTGCCTTCGTGGAGGAAGCCAACATTTTTGCCACTATGACCCTGTAAAGCTGCTGAAGTGTTATAGCTAAGGCCGGGATGAGAACGGCCTCAGCTTGACTGACTGACTCAGTGCATTTGCTTTAGTTCAGATGGTGTGCTTTTTTTTTTTTTTTTAAAGACAGCCTGCCTTAAACATGTTCATGATATTAGTGCTCATGATTTTTGTTTTAAAAACCAATATCATTCACTGCACTTATGCCAACTGAGGGATTATGATTAACAGGTTGACCTTGAAAGAGTACCTACTTGATCCGTTGGCTTCTCAAAATAGTATGTCCCTGTGGCCCAATTGCTGTTTTAATATGCAGAGTTTTAACATAAGGAATGGCGCCATAGCTTGTAAGAAGTGAATGACAATTAGATATTGATGGCAAGGGATAAGACTGCAAAATTATCACTGCAAACATAATTGTGAAAATGATAGTTTGTTTCACCATCACTGTGAGAGTGACAGTATCTTTGTATTGAAAAAAATATTCCTATTGTTGGCAGCTTCCATGCACACCAGATTGAACTGGCTCACTTTTAAAAGCACAAACAATTAAACACAACCACTATCCAAGACAGGAGCTGGCAGAACATACGAACTGAGCACAGTTACATTTTAAGAACAAGACTCTTTACTTTGCATACAGCACTTTGATGTCATTTCACTGGCGGGGAGAGATTTAAAACATCTATGTACTCTAAATTTCTTTTGCAATTACTTTGAGTTTATGAAGCAATGCAACAGAAACAAGGAATAAGAAAAAGGCCTGAGAATTAGTGTACATCACGAACAGAAAACAGCTAAAATGCAGAAGACTATTTTTCAGGAAGGAAACCTTTGAGATAAAGGCAGGGAAAAAAAACAGTCTGAAAAAAAATGATAAAAAAGCGCATCCGAAAAGAAAGACAGCAAAGGGCAAAAGATATGGAAATGAAGGAATTAGAAAGACAGTGCAAGCAGAGAATGCAAGCCCACTGATGCCATATCCGACTATGTTTCAGCACCCTGGTGTGACAGGCACAGACGTCACAGTGATGTTATAGAACAAATGCATCCTGGGTACTCAGTAGGGCGATGTCACCTAATCAACAAAGCTGTGTTTCACACAAGAGCACAGACAATGCCTGATCTTACCACACACACACATAAATCTGTGAGGACACTAGTACACAGCAATAAAAATTACAAAAATAAATGTGAAAATATGTTATATGAAAAGTTGCCTCAAGTTAAAAAATCTGCACTCCCGTAACCATTTTGTATCGTTACTGTTTTAGTGGCAAATGTCCTTGTTGCTGTTGTTAAATTTTGCATCTCCAACAGAGAAGATAAGTGACTGTCGAAGTCAGGATGACAATATTCGGCTATTTTCCCAACCCATTCTTTTGTTAAACATTGTAATATACCGTTTTTTTGTTTGGACAGTAAGTAATAAGCTGCTTTTTACCACAGTGCCACTGCATTGTTGCTAAATATTTTTGTAGGTGTCTACATAGAAGTGCAGCTAATCCAGAACCTAATGGTACATTGGAGTAACTAATCCACATTATATATTGTGTATAGTACTCCTATTTTATCTTCTAGTCTCTTGCCACAATTTCTATCTTGAGCAAAGCAGCTCTTATATTTTGTTTAATCAGATG